CAAACACACGCCAGAATAAAACACACACAACACACTCTCTCTCTTTCTTTCTCTTTTGCTTCATTTTTTGCTGGAATTCTGTCATCTTCTTTTTTCATATACAATTCTTCCAAAAGCAGCCCGGGACAGAATGACAGGTTTAAGTGCTTTTTCCAAGGGGCTCAGGTCTGCCCCGGGGTTAAGGGTCAACCTGCCTAGCCGGCATGCTAAGTCTTCCTGTGTTTCCAACAGATAACCTTCTTGGCATCTGGAGGGATTTAGATAGAAGGCCGGCTCAGTGCTTGTAAAAAACATATATCTCTCTCTATATGTGTATACACCATCGTATGTATGTATATAAAATGTGCGTGTATGTAGTATCCTGTTTGTTGTTGTTGCAGTTAGTTGGTGTGAGATGGAAAAGGAACCCTGTGCCTTTAAACGAGGAGGGGCTGAAGGAGGCGGCGTCCGGCAGGGAAAAGGCTAGCTGGCGCTCTGTGCAAGAGAAGGAGTTTAATCTAATTTAGTTGGAGGGTGTCTGTCTGCCGTGTTGTTTTTTGGAGTGTGGGAATAGCGGAGGGAAGCTGCCCCGTTGAATGGTCCCTTCTGAGCCAGAAGCAGTGGGGAGCCCTCAACGCCAGTGATCCAAAGCCCGGCCTTGAAAGAGGATTAAAGAAATGTTCTGATTTGCAATTCACACTCATGCACCCCGCAGAACCTTTGGTAATATTTCAAACCACATTTCAAGGGAAGCGGCCTTAAAAATAGCTGCCCCGATTGTCTTGGACACCCCTATGCACCCGTTTTAGGATGGGGGTGCTTTCTTTGGTCTGTTCCCCACCCCCCATACACACACACACACACACACACAGCCCTGGCATCTTACAAACCAGTGCTTTTAGGTGTAATTAAAACTTTCGTGCCTGTTGAATTTGTTGCAACTTGCATCGCCTTTCTGGTGGTGCAAACTGTTTTCTTTGCTGAGAATCTCTTCAGATGACTAAAGGTGTTTTCCGTGGAGAAGAAAAAAATGTAGGGGGGCCCGAGGGAGCAGGCCTGCTTGGTTAGAAAACAGGCTTCTCCTCGCACGGTTTATATCTGATGAAAGCTTCTGCAGAAACTTAATACCGAGATGAGGTCAGAGAAAATAAGGCTCACCCAGGTCAGACTGCTGCATGCCAGGCAATTATTAGTAAGCAGGGCAGTTTTCATTCTTTAACTTGAAGGCAGCATTGGAAAAGTCCCTGACTAAATATAAATATTGATGACATCAGCCGGGGAGAGAAGAAACACAGGAATCATTTCACTGGATGTTGAAACTTCTACATGCCAAGAGAGATCATCCCAGTGGGAGCCACTGAACCACCTTCTGTCTTTAAGATGCACCAGCACTGTTGTATTTCTTTATAAACTTTTTGCTCACATTCCACGAGTTTGCTCGTGCAAGAAGCTTGTAACATGCTAAGCCATGGTTTAATTTCTTTTTATTGCGGAAAGTCTGCGCACTTTTTTTTTTAATCTTAAAGAGATTATTTGGGTTTTCTCTAATCCCATGTCAGAAAACCTCGCACAATGCTTACAATTTCCCTTCACTATTACATAACAAGAAAAGATACAACAACTTTGATTTTTAGCAATGTCCGTTTCCACCTACTTTATACTTTTGACTTGGTGAGTTTAAATGGAATGAAACCTGGGCCTGTCTTTAAATTCCCTTCCACTTCCAAAAATATTTAGGTCCTATTCAAAAAACACTGCCTGACTCCTGAAATATTCCCTTTCAAAAAAGCTTCTACTTTCCCCAGTGAACATTTGCAAGAACTTTAAGGTAGATAATGTCTCTGATATATACATATATATGTTTTTTTATTTTTAAGTGGTTGGGATTAAAAAAAAATATTCCTTGTCTCTGCCTGTTACGTGAAATCATGTTTAATTATAAAGTTTCATTAAAAACCTTTGCTCAAAATTTTAGAGGCCTAATAAGATTTCCATTAATTTAAACATATCACTATTCCCACGACAGCTCCAACGCTTTCTTTTTCCTCTTTCATCCATGGTTAAATATGTAAATAAAATGTCTAAAGTCATTCTTCAAAGAAGACAAAAGAAAAAAGAGCTGAGGGAAAGACAGCCATAAAATTCCTCCCAATTCTCCATAACATTTGCCAGAGGGGGGCCGGGTACCAGCGGGGCTGAGCAGCGGGGGACCTCAGCTCTGAGCATCTCACATCTCAAATCCCACACACAGGAGGAAAAAAAAAATAAAATAAAATATCTTTTCAGTTGGAGCCATCAAAAGGCCCTTTTCATTTATTAGTTACAAAGTTATCTTCCAGTTGCTGATTTCTCAGAACCCTCGTTTTTCTATAAGAATGTCTATTTGTTGGTTTCCATCTCAGCTGGACAGAGGGAAGCACTTCTGCAGACACATTTTTATAAAAAAAAAAAAAAAAGACGAGAGAAGAAAGCAATCTGAAGTGGTTATAGCTAAAATAATGGGTCTGAACATGGCTGAATTAAAATAGCACATAAAAGATCAATTAGGAAGCACTCTCTCCAATAGCTCAGTCCCAGCGCCTGGCGTTTGGCGGGCTAACTCTCTCACTAAATATCCCCAATAGTTTCTAAAGGAGAAAAACAAAAAAAAAAAAAAAAAAAAAAAAAAGAAGAGGAAAAGAAAGGGAAGTGGTTCTTGCAAGAAAGATTCTACAAAAGCCAAGTGATGTCTGCTGAATATTTAATTTAAAGGTTTTGAAAATAAGTCACTAGATTGATAATTTTTTTTAAACTATCATCATAAAAATGGCAGTTTTTTAAAAAAAAAACATGCAATTTTTCATTGGGGGAATAATGACACGGTTGGAAGCGGTTGTTGGGACTATATTAGCTTCCACCTTCCTTCCCACTTTCTCCGTCACCCCAACTTCCCCCAACACCTCCCAGTGGGTGTCGGGGGCCAGGGCCCCGGGGGTGGGGGATGGGCGCGTGAACCTGCCTATTAATTCCGGGATCTGGGCGAGTCTCAGCTTCAGCCCCTCCGCACAGACCTCGGAGGAACGGAGGAGTGAATGAGCAGGAGAGGCGACCCAGGCTTCTCGCAGAGGGGGCCGTGCGCGGCTTGTTTTAATTAGAAGCCAGTCGTCTCGGAGGACGCGCTCCAATTCTGCCTCGGCTTGCTCGTCCCGGGAGGGGAGGTGGCTGGCGGTCCCCTTCCCCTTCCCGGGCGCTTCCTGGAGAGCGCTGGCGCACCGCGGGGACCCATCCCGCCGTCCCAGGCCCGGGGGGCGACAGTGGCCTTTCCCGGGATGCGCGCACTGGGGGCGGGCGGGCGGGGGGAGGGGGGGTTAAGAAAGGAGGCCGGCGCCCGAGGCCAGCCTCGGACGGGCGAGTTGGGAAAGCCCCAACTTGGGGAGGCAGCGGGAGATTGAACCCGGGATCCGGGGAGTTTCAGGACTTAAAAGGATCCTGACCTCCAGGGCGTCTAGGCGGAGAGAGAGCGGGCCACCCCCCAGGGGCGCTGCTTACGCCAGAGCTAATTCGGGGTGCGAGGGGGAGGCACCAGGGAACGGCAAGGGTGGGGCTGGGCGCCCAGTGCGCCAACGCCGAGGGGGCGTCGTGTCCCGGCCCAAACCCGAGGGGAGTGAGCTCAGAGGATGAGGCCACGACGCTCCTTCCCCACTTGCCAGGAAAACCAGCGAGTGGCGCGCGCCCCCGCCTCCCGGCGCGGGCTGGGGTCCCCCGCGTCCCGCCCCGCCGCACCCCCCGGCGCCGCAGCCGCTCGCGGGGCTGTAGCCCAGGAGGGCGCGGGCCGGGCAAACCACTCGCCAAATAACACAAATGCCCGACGAGTGAACGACTTCCTACAGTAAATAAACCCAGCCGCCCAGGAGGAACCGCCGGCCCCTCGGCTCCGCGGCTCGGCGGGGCGGGGGTCACCGCGAGGCAAGCCCGGCTCCACTTCCCTTCCTGCCCCTCCGCCCCCTCCTCGGAGGAGCCCTCGGAAGAGCAGCCCTAAAATCGGCGCTCCCGGCGCCCCTCCCCCTGCCCTCAGCTCGTCCCTTTGAAATTTCAAAGGAAACCCCTTCCCGGAGCCCCGGCTGGGAGCTCCCCGCCCCGGGAGGACGCAGGCAGGTTTACAAGCCAAGGGGCCACTTTATGGCCGAGGTCATAAAACGCAAATCCCACCTCTCTTTGAAAGCGCCCTCCGCCCCGGACCCGCCGTGAAAAAAGAGAAGATGCGCCCCCAGCCCCCCGCCACGGACCACCCCCGCCCCTTTCTCCCGCCAGTCCCCGAACTTCCCGTAACCTCGGCGTCCTTGGGGTGCGGGGGACCACCCCGGAGGACCCCCGGGACAGGGGGCGCAGGCGGAGAAGGCAGCGAGAGGCAAAGTTGGAGGCCGGGCAGAGAGGGCGAAGAGAGGCGGGCGGGACACCGGGAGGGCGCAGAGCCCGCACGCGGCGAGAGTCCTGCCAGGGAGACCAGGCGGCGAGACCGGCGCCCGCGGGCAGGCGGCGGGCAGGGGCTCGGCCGCGGGGCGCGGAGCCGGGCGGGCGCGGGCGGAGCGGCCGCGCAGCTCGGCTTTCGCATGCAAAGCGGCGGCGGGGCGGGGCGGGCGGCCCGGGGCCGGGGCCTGTCAGCGCTCGGCTTTTTCCCCCAGTTGCCTTTTTGCGAGTCTTCTCATCCCGGGACGCAAAGCTCGGAACAGCTGCCGGCTGGGCCCGGAGACGCGGCGCAGGGAGGGAGGAGCCGCGGGGCCACCGTGCGCCCGCGCAGCCAGCCGCTCTGGGTGCCCCAAGAAGAGGCCCAAGTTTGCCGCGGCGGCAGTGAGCTGAAGCCCGGGCCGCGCCGCCGCGCCGAGAGCTCCGGGGGCTTCTCTCGCTTCCCGGTATTGTTTGCAAACTTCGCCCCGCTCCCCGGCGACCCCCAACTCGGCGGAGGCCTGCGCGGACTGCAGAGCCGGGGGCGCTGTGCGCAGCGCTCGGGCCAGGCTGGGCGGGCATGGGCGGGGGCCCGAGCAGGGGCGGACGGCCGGGGCCAGCAGCCCGTGCCCGGGAGCGGCGGCTCTGAGGGGCGCGGACCTCCCCGCCCGGGCACTGCAGACGCCACCATGCCGCGCCCGGGTCCCCGCCTGTGGCTGGTCCTGCAGGTGATGGGCTCGTGCGCCGCCATCAGCTCCATGGACATAGAGCGTCCGGGCGACAGCAAGTGCCAGCCCGTGGAGATCCCGATGTGCAAGGACATCGGCTACAACATGACCCGCATGCCCAACCTGATGGGCCACGAGCAGCAGCGCGAGGCGGCCATTCAGCTGCACGAGTTCGCGCCGCTGGTGGAGTACGGCTGCCACGGCCACCTCCGCTTCTTCCTGTGCTCGCTGTACGCGCCCATGTGCACCGAGCAAGTCTCCACCCCCATCCCCGCCTGCCGGGTCATGTGCGAGCAGGCCCGGCTCAAGTGCTCGCCCGTCATGGAGCAGTTCAACTTCAAGTGGCCCGACTCGCTGGACTGCAGCAAACTCCCCAACAAGAACGACCCCAACTACCTGTGCATGGAGGCGCCCAACAACGGCTCGGACGAGCCCACGCGGGGCTCGGGCATGTTCCCGCCGCTCTTTCGGCCGCAGCGGCCGCACGGCGCGCAGGAGCAGCAGCCGAAGGACGGCGGGCCGGGGCGCAGCGGCTGCGACAACCCGGGCAAGTTCCACCACGTGGAGAAGAGCGCGTCGTGCGCGCCGCTCTGCACGCCCGGCGTGGACGTGTACTGGAGCCGCGACGACAAGCGCTTCGCCGTGGTCTGGCTGGCCATCTGGTCGGTGCTGTGCTGCTTCTCCAGCGCCTTCACCGTGCTCACCTTCCTCATCGACCCGGCCCGCTTCCGGTACCCCGAGCGCCCCATCATCTTCCTCTCCATGTGCTACTGCGTCTACTCCGTGGGCTACATCATCCGCCTCTTCGCGGGCGCCGAGAGCATCGCGTGCGACCGGGACAGCGGGCAGCTGTACGTGATCCAGGAGGGGCTGGAGAGCACGGGCTGCACCCTGGTCTTCCTCGTCCTCTACTACTTCGGCATGGCCAGCTCGCTGTGGTGGGTGGTCCTCACGCTCACCTGGTTCCTGGCCGCGGGCAAGAAGTGGGGCCACGAGGCCATCGAAGCCAACAGCAGCTACTTCCACCTGGCCGCCTGGGCCATCCCCGCGGTGAAGACCATCCTCATCCTCGTGCTGCGCCGGGTGGCGGGCGACGAGCTCACCGGCGTGTGCTACGTGGGCAGCATGGACGTGAACGCGCTCACGGGCTTCGTGCTGGTGCCGCTGGCCTGCTACCTCACCATCGGCACCTCCTTCCTGCTGTCGGGCTTCGTGGCCCTCTTCCACATCCGCAGGGTGATGAAGACGGGCGGGGAGAACACGGACAAGCTGGAGCGGCTCATGGTGAGGATCGGGGTCTTCTCCGTGCTCTACACGGTGCCCGCCACCTGCGTCATCGCCTGCTACTTCTACGAGCGCCTCAACATGGACTACTGGAAGGTCCTGGCGGGGCAGCACAAGTGCAGAATGAACAACCAGACCAAGAGCCCGGACTGCCTCCTGGCCGCCTCCATCCCCGCCGTCGAGATCTTCATGGTGAAGATCTTCATGCTGCTGGTCGTGGGCATCACCAGCGGCGTGTGGATCTGGACCGGCAAGACCCTGCAGTCCTGGCAGGGCGTCTGCAGCCGCAGGCTGAAGAAGGGCCGGAGGAAACCGGCCAGCGTGCTCACCGGAGGCGGCGGTGGGATTTACAAAAAAGCCCAGCATCCCCCCAAACCTCACCTGGGGAAGTTTGAGATCCCCGCCCAGCCCCCCACCTGCGTGTGAGCAGGCCGGGAGGGGAGGGCCTGCCCCACCCCGGGGGCAGCGGGGGACTGAAATGTGGTGCTTTTTTCATGGTTGGTTTTTTTTTTAAAAAAAAAAAAGATAATAATAATAAAAGGAAAAGAAAAAGAAAATAAATAGAAAGCATTTACCCTGAAATTCAGGATGCTGGGATACACTGAAAGTAAAAATGCACGGAAAGGGTTTTGTTTGGTTTTGCCGTTTTTCCGTGAAGGGAAGCTCCGGTTGGGGTAGCCTCTTGTGTAACCGATTGGTGGTAAAGTAGTTGATTCAGCCCTTTCTTTCTGGGAAGAAAACTTTTGTTTAGAACCTCCCGTAAATATACATCTCTGTATATTTGAGCTGGCTTTGCTGCTTCCATTTACAAACCGGAGGACAGATCACTTGTTTGCAAATTAAAGAGCCTCCGGAGGGTCAGCAGATGAGCCATCCCCAGGGGGGCCCTCAGGAAGGCTGTGTGTGTTGGGGGGGAGGGGGACTGGGGTGGATTTGGAGTCACTTAACGTAGACTCCACCTCAAGTCCTCACGAATGCTCTTTCTCCCCCCCACCAAACCTAACATTTGCGAATTCAAACAATGTGCAATACATTTTTCCCCCTCTTTCCATGAAAATAAAAAGGAGAAACAAGTATTTTGCTGTGCATAAAGGCAACAAAAGAAATCTCCTAACAAAAGAACTAAGAGGCCCCCTGGGCCTCAGAAACCCTTTAGTGTTACATTTTGTGGCTTTTTAATGGAAACCAAGCCAATGTTACACACACGTTTGGACTGATTTGTGGAAGGTGGGGGGGTGAGGAGGAGAAGGATCTTTCAAAAGTACCCAAAGGGCTTATTGACTCTTTCTATTGTGAAGCAAATGATTTCCATGAACACACCCAGAAGCACTAGGTCGGTCTCCCATGGTCTCCCATACTCTCTGACTTCGCCAGGGAAGAGTGGTTTCTGCTCGTGTATATGTGTAATATAGGATATTTTTCATGCTCCGCTATTTTATTAAAAATAAAATATGTTCTTTAGTTTGCTGCTAGCCCGTGTGTGTTGTGAGGTTGCCTTCCCCAGGTGTGGGGAGAACAGAGGAAACATCTCCTTCTGCTTTTCTAGGTGAATTCTGGCTGGAGAGTCCTGGTTATATTTACGTGAAATCGCGGCTGGGCGGATTCTAAGGTCGGGGGAAGAATTCCACTGTGAGTTTCAGAGGAGTTACATGCAGCAATGTGTGGAGTTGGAGACGCTCTCTGTGACCGGTGGTAGGCAGACGTGAGGGCTGAGGTGTGGGCACTTGATCAAGGAGAGGCCTGGCTACTCAGTGTGGCCACACTCGTGGGCCTGGATTAGCCTCTTCTCATGTGGCAGCATGGAGCCAGCCGCGGAAGAGAATTAACTCAGTCGTGTTCATTTGCCCCGCTGGGGTCAGGCTGCACCTAGACAGAGTTCTGCACGTCGGCCCAGAGTGCGCTGGCTTCCCAGCCGCCCTGGGCCACAGGGGCATGTCTACAAAACAGATGGTAGGTCCGGACAGGATAGCGTGTCTGCTAAGGGTGGGGAGTCACGAAGGAGAAGTCCAGCAGCTTTGGGGCTTCACAGCGCCCGGTCCTCTCTCGTCTGGGGTTTGCTGCGAGGGCCGGGCAGCTGTCGGGAACTGGAGCGGGCCCAGGTCCTCGGGCCAAAGGCAAAGCCGAGCTTGAGTTCCAGCCAGCAGGGCGGAGGGCACGGTCCAGCCACGCTGCAATGGAGACCGACTGGACAAGCCATGCTGTCCCCGGGTCATGGCCTTGTCCAGCTTCGACCAGGAGCTCCTTGCTGGGCATGACGGGAGCTTTGACAGGGAGCTCCTTAGCCTGCAGGAACCATGAGATGATGGGGTGGTTTCAGGTCAGGTTCTAAAACCAAAATAGCAGCTCTGCAGGGGAAGCAAGTTATTGTAAAATCCAGAATGGCTTTCAGTGCGCTAACAAAAAAAAAGGATGAAGAAAGGTTTTAAAAATGCCCACAAGTAAAAATATATACTTGTTGATGGTTCTCACCCAGTCCCCCAAAAAGACTACATAGAAATATGTGTGTACTTGCATATGTGTGTATATAACGCGACTCTTAGGGGGGGAAATAGCAAGCTTGGAAAAGAGCTTTTGAAAAGCCCGGAAAGGTAACATGGTCGAGTGCTGTTGGAACGTCAAGGCCGGACACAACTGCAATGACACTGGGTTCTAGAATTCCTGGACTGATTAGCTATTTCTGATCCGCTGTATTCAGGTGTGGAGACTTTAAAATTTGGTCCTAAGTTCAACAACACACACGTAAGAGCCTTTGCTGTCGTTTAGCCCGCAATGGGTTTGTGTGCATATGCCTTCCAGGAACGGCTGATCTCGTTGACAAATGTCAAGGGATTTGAACGTGGAGTGGGCTGGGTGCAGGGGGGAGTCGAGCAGAGATGAGTGTAGACGCAGCTGAAGGCCCAAGCCCACTGCCCCAGATCCCTCCTGCTCCTGTCCCCCTCTCTCTCTCCTTTTTCTCTCTCTCTCTCAGCTGAAATCTGACCCTAGGTCACATACAGACAGTGAATTTTAAGAGAAGCAGCAAGGCTTAAAAGTTAGAAAGCCAGGAAAGAAAAAAAAAAAAAAACCCACACACCAGGACTCCTCAGATCCTCTGCAGCCGGTGCAGGGTTTCCATGGGGCTGCTGCCTGCTTTAATTAGGAGATTTCCCAGCGCAGAGCCCCAGCCTCAGGCCCAGGAAAGAAAGTGGCAACCTGTTTGGGGTTGGCAATTCTGAGGGGCGAGGTCATAGCTAAAAGAAGAAGCCCATACAGGTGATTGTCCAAGGTCCCCCTCCATCCGCACCTGTTCTGCTCTTCCCTTCGTCCCTGCATCCGACATTCAGCCACTCACCAGGGGGCTGGGGAGACAGCAACGGCCACCTGGGCCTCGGCTGCCAGGAGGCCACACCTGGCGAAGGAGACCCCCATGGCACACCTTGGTACAGGTGTCTGTTGCAGGTCAGGGAAGCCATCCCAGAGGCAGAAGCGTGTGCTCCGTGGCTCTCAGCACCCGCAGAGCAGAGGACTCAGCACGCCCAGCTGCAAAGCCAAGGCGAAGCTGGACAGCCACGTAGCGGCGAGAGCAGCTCCGACCAGGGCGCAGAGAACTCCACGAGGGACCTAGACTGGGTCTGGCAGGCGGCCCCTGTGAGGCCACGCCCTGCAGAGCGCCTTGGATGCAGTAATAATAACCACGGTGACGGCAGCAATCGGTGGCAGCACTGGCTTTCGAGCACCTGCCGGGTGCCGAGCGCCCCGCTGGAACTAGCCCACTGGGCTGTCGGGGCACCTGTCAGGCAGGTGCCCTCACCAGCCTCACTCTACATAAGGAGACCCCTACACAAGGGGTTAAGTAAACGCCCAGGGTCCCACACATGGCAGGTAAAGTCAGGGCAGGACGGGGAACAGGCAATCCCGTAGGTAGTAGATCCAGGACCGCCAATTCAGTGAGCGGTCGTTGAATAAATGAATGAATGAATGAATGACAGTTAAGCACCTCACACATATGCATTCCGTCCTCTAACAAGCTTGGGGGGCCCTATGCTCATGCTCATGTTATAGGTGAGGGGTTTGGAGCACAGAGACTTCGAGTCACTCGCCCAAGGCCACGCAGGCAGCCAGCAGGGAGCCCAGGGCCACCCTGGCCCCAAATGCACTCTGGTGAGCACCGGGGCTTTCCCGCCCTCTGGGCTCCCGCGAGTTGCGTGGATTCAATCATTTCGTCTTCGCAGCGGCGCTGCCACGCCTGTGCTGCCAGGGAAAGGTGCACAAGGTCGCACGGCCAAGGGCAAAGGCCACCTTGCTGGCCCGGGAGGACAGAAGTGAGGAGGCCACCGCCCCCTTCCAGGCAGGAGGTGAACCGAGAGGTGCTGGGGAGGTGGACCCTGGATTCTTAGATTTGACGCTGAGAGAGGGAGCAAGAAGGGACGGCGGTCAGAGGGGGCCGGGCCATGCCCGACGTAGGTGGCCAAGGGACATTCCCCAGGGCAGGAGGAAGCGATCGGTAGACGGCCGGCCGGGGAACGCGTGTTGGGGGGCGGGAAGAGGAACGTGGCGTGGGGGTATCTGGCGGATCCCTCCAGGTGCGGCCGGTCAGTCCGCAGCAGCCTGGGCCACAGCCAAGCGAGAGGTCGTGGCCACAGCAGGTGCGGGCCCCAGCGGGGGAGGTGCTGAGACCGGGCGGTGGGTGGGGGGGGGTCTCCCCAGGGACAGAGGAGGGGCCTGGTGGGCAAAGAGAGGGGGCCGTGCCCAGCCAGGAGAGGCCCCCCGGCCGCCTGGGTTTCTCACGCGTGCAGCAAGAGGGCCGGTCGGAGGAGGGGAGAGTCACTCACTGGTCTCACCTGAGGTCAAAATCCACGTCCCAGGCAGAGATGGGGCGGGCACGGCCAGGGTCCCACCCGCAGGGGAGCGTGGGAAGGGTGCTCTCCCCGCCCTACCCCTGCTGTGGCCTTCGACCTCTGTGTCTTCAACGCCTGCCACCCTGGGGCCACCCAAGCACAATCAAAGTGACTCCAGTAACTTCGACAGCCTCGAATTTCCTACCACCTACCAGGCGCCGCTGGGGAAGCTGCTCGGGGACATAAAAAGAAAACACGAGGGGAAGAAAGTCAAGGAAGCATTCTCGCTCGAGGCAGCAGGTATTCCCAGTATTCTAGATCGTCCTCTCGGGAGCAGGAGAAAGAAATACGGAGAACGGATGACTGGTTGGAGTGGAAATCACTGGCGCCTACCACTGCAGGAGGTAGAGAGACAACGTCCTTCGGGGCTGACCTGCATCTCGCCCGGACCAGGCTCTGGTGTCCAGTTTGAGGAAACCGCGTGTAAGCTGCCTCCCCTCGGGCAGGTGCGGAGCTCCCCCACCTCGGTTTCTCCATCCATAAAATGGGCGCGATCACGGGACCCGCCCCGCTGGGCGCCGCTCACCAGCAGCTGATATGGACTGAAGGACTGGGACACGCTCGGTGGCTTTGGGCGTTCTGTGGCCACTAATCCATCAGTTC